TCTCGTAGCCAGATATTTCTTAGTTCCCAACAGAAAAGTGAAGGCTCTGGTTCGAGACCATACCCAAAGGCCTAGAATCTGGGTTGTACGATATATGCATACTGATGGTGCATAGGAATTTTTGAACCAATCAAATCAAAGACTCACTCGTCTCCAACCAGAGCCTTTGATTTTCCATTTGAGAAGGATCTGGATAAGCGAATGCTATCTCTATACAAAAKGGGTCTTTTCTACCCTTGGACTGCATATAAACTGTTTTGTCATCAAAAGGCTGAGTTTGCACACCTCAAATATATATTATCTATAATTAATTTATTATCTATGTCTTATAGTCTTCCAATGAAAACAAACAACATATTATACGGCAGCTATTGAAATCAAACAATAAATTTATAAAGTAAAGACAAATATTATGTAAATCATAATAGATAATGTGCATATAAGGTATTAAATACTTACAATTTTGCATATGTACACGTAATAGCTGCTTGGCAGTTCTCGCTATCATTTCTAAAATACAGATTTTCTGAAGAAAAAAAAGGTTAGTCACTATCTAATGTACCAAAAAAGCTGAACTAAATTGCATGTACCCACAGATTTTTTTTTGGGTGAACATTTTGTAAATTAAGCCTTTTAGTAGATACTGTATTTACTCATGTATAAGCTGCTCTCATAGATAAGCTGCACCCCAAGTTTTGGGAACGTTTATGAGGGAAAAAAGATGGAAAATAAGCTTTCCTCTTTGTGATCGCCACCAGCCAACACATCTTTCTTCGATTTTAAAGGCTTTCCTGCTGCTCGATACTTCATACTTCCTACACAGTTCCCAATACACCCTCAAACCCATTCTATCATGCCTCCTCCTGCATTCCTTTGGAGCTAACCCACTACAACCACTCGCCATATGTCCCACAGAGTCCACCTCCTTACCACAAACCCTGCACTTTGGATCAACAGCTTCCTTTTGGATCGTGGCTCGGAAAAAAACTTGTCCTCAAAGCCTGTTCTTGTGCTTCAAACACAAACCCCTCAGTGCCCTTTCCCAAATACCCTGCTCTTAACCACTGCCATGACCTCTCATCAGCCACTTCGCTCACATCTCTTTCCGTGAAGCCTCTTCTGACATATGCCTATAATAGACTTATAGAAAATTGTGAAGAATGTCCCAACTGGCTAACAACTGGTATTACGTATCTTCTTCCAAAAAATGAAGAAACTATTAACACTAAAAATTATCGGCCAATCACTTGCCTCCCTACAATATTATAACATCAATATTAAAATCTAAAACTTATGCTCATATGGTGGATAACAACCTGATGCCTCTAGAATAAAAAGGCTGTAGAAAAGGAAGCTATGGATGCAAAGATCAGTTGCTTATAAACAAAGCTATAATGGAAGAAATAAAATCCAGAAAGAAGAATCTGTCAACAGCTTGGATTGATTACAAAAAAGCATTTGATTCTGTTCCCCATAGTTGGATCATGAAGTGTCTTGAAATCTACAAAGYCTCCTCTATTTTGATCAACTTTATCAGAAACAACATGTCACAATGGAAAACAACCTTAAAACTTAATCACAGTGAGGGAGTAYTAACATCCAGACAAATGAATAYACTGTAAATAGCGGGATTTTCCAAGGTGATTCTCTTTCACCACTTCTTTTTTGTATTGYTCTTRCCCCATTATCCTCACTCTTGAATAAAAGTAGGCATGGTTACAAGTCTGGCAACAAAGTCATCAATCATTTATTCTATATGGATGATTTAAAAACTTAATATATTATGCGAAAAATGATGATGATCACCCACGCTCTGTTTGTAGACTACATATCCCTTGAAAACCTATCATCAATCTCAGCAAAAGGCAGTAACTGTGTCAAGTAAGATCAAGAAGATGTTTGCAGACATTGGTTTAGAATGGGGAATTAACAAATGCGCTGCAATACATGTGAAACATGGAAAACTGGAAACTAGAGTCAACTAAATGAAAATGCCTGTAATTAACAACTGCTCCATACCAGTTCTAGGCATTGGTTGAGATCATTACCAATTCTTAGGAAAATACCAGAACATCCAACACCTGGAAGATAAAGTTATTGAAGAAGCTCCTGAAGAGTATGAAAAGCGACTTTGGGCYGTTTGGACCTCTCCATTGTCAATACCACGTAAACTTTGTGCCACTAATGTTTAATGCCATACCTGTTTTACAGTATTATATGTGGACAACCGACTGGCCGCTTAACCACCTCAAAGAGCTCGACAGACTAACAAGAAAAGTCATCAATGATAGCCGTGGAAACAAGTATGAATCCATACCACTCCTGTACTTACAGCCAGAACAAGGCAGGAAAGGATTCGTCAAACTAGAAACGTTGTACAAGAACACCAAGTTGAAGGTAGCCAACTACATTAATAATTCAGAAGATCAACATATCAAACTTGTAAAGTTCTTACAGATGAAAAAAGAACAAAGTAATTTAAGATCCATCTTTAAAGATGCCAAGAAGTACGCAGAAGAGCTAAACGTAGACTGCGACTTCAATGATAATGATGCAGTCTTTGGATACGGCGATAGAGAAATATGTATAAGTGATAAGGAACCAAAGAAAGTAAAGAACATTATAAACAAAGCGAGCATTGACAGACGTATGAAAGATCTACATAACCAACCTTGGGTTGKTAAATTTGTGACCCAACACTGGAATGATTCTGAAATATCAAATASTTCATATGACATCTTTAAACAGTGGRAAAACATTCCAGATATCGTATTGTCAATCGATACAAGCATCAGACAACACCAAGACCTACAGGAGAAAAAGGAGACTGTTTAACATGTACTTTGTGGCTGTTCGCATATAGCTCAATCTCTATACAAGTCTCTACATGACAAGATGCTCCGCCCTGTCTATCACGCTCTCCTTGATAAATATGGATTTGATGAATCTGATCATTCTTTACAATGGCACAAACAATCATATYCACAGCCATGTCGAGAAAACAAGGWAGCAAAGAAATTGTAATCYAAACTTCTCAGTATTACTATAAATTCTCCAAAAATCTAGCTCTGAGAAACACAATTTAATAAATCAAACTGAAAAGTGAGTGGTTATTGAGCCAAAGAACACAGAGCATTTTCAATCGTTTTGTCTTGGAGTTGTTTAGTGGTAACGCGATGCTAATTTGCATATTTGTTCATTTACGCGACTTTGTCACACTTAAAGTGAAGAATCCAGGGTGAATATTTTGAATACCCAAGAAATAAGCCTAAGAAAGTGTTCCTTATATTAAAATACAATTTGCTTTAATATTTTTTTTGAAATACGAAACGGTTTCAGCATGATCCTTATGTTTAGAAGTTTGGCGGCACAATGAGATTTATATCACTTAAGTTGATTACTAGTTTGCTTTTACCTTTTGCATACGAAATGCATGGATCACGGAAATCGAGCACTGCGGAAAAGCACTTTAAAATCAAAGAAAGCTGTGTTCGAAAGTGGCGATCAAAAAGAGAAAAGTTTATATTACGTCTTTTTTTCATCAAAAACGTTCCTAAAACTCGGGGTGCAGCTTATCTACGAGAGCGGCTTATACATGGGTAAATACAGTACCCTAAGAAGTCACMATACTCTAAGAAGTCACTTGGTAGTAAATTGGTGCAAATATGTTAACTTTCATTGAAAATGTTTGCTTTTTTAACCTAAATATAATATCAATATTGYGTTCATTTATCACTTACAAAAACATGGTCCAGATCAGGTCTTGTTGACACAATTCCACAGATAGTACCAATATATCTTACATTTATACCTCTGTGAAATAAGCAATAGTGTGATTGGTGAATATTGGTAAGAAGTAAAAAAAAATTGACTCAAATCCCTTTTTGCTTGGTTGCTGTTAAGTGTTTTACCTGTTATGAAGGATGTCAATGAGCTGGGATCCATCTATAGGTGTTTGCTCGAGGTTAATGAAGTCTTCAACCTAAAAACAAACATCAAGTTAATCATCATAAATACAAAACGCATATGCTGATATTTCATTCTAACTTGTACTAGGGGTACTGCTTCAACAATGCACATTCTCAGCCAGTTAATATTGTGGTCTTCTGGTTTGATGGCATTGACAGTTCCTAACCAGTAGGGGATGGAGGAAATGTTGTACCTTCAACAATTTTTGATGTTATTATTAAATAATTCTCCAATATTATATGAATGTACTTCATGAGCATTAGAATCAAAATAATGTACATTGTACAAGTTAATCATAAAGTAAACACTAGATAATGTCACATTTCCCCTCTGAAGATATTGATATGTACATTCAATATAAATCAATAACAATAATCATAAATTCACAGTAAATTGTTCACAAATCAAGTCTTTTGGGTGGTGTGATCAAATGACCAGAGTGTGTCCTAGTGCCAAGCTCTGTGGAAGCTGAACTCTGACTCGATAGCATGTACAAAAAACATACCTACAGGGAATTGTGGGTATCACAAAGCAAAAAGGATACGTCATCTTATTTAAACTTACCATTTTAACAACTGCAGTATCCAGTAGATAATTGGAAGCATCTTTAACAAGTTTCCTATCAACACTTAGTGCTTTGACCTAATATTTTAAGGAATTTATCAGTCAATCAATTTAACAAGTTTGGTTAAACAAGTTAGGACAACAAGAGTTAATTTCGACGTTTTGACRCCATCGCACGTCATTTTCAAGAATAGTTTATTAGAACAATCACTAGCTTTTATATGTTATTGAATATATTACAGATATTAAAATGTCTCTGGGGATAATCTTAAATTTTAGAATACTTTTGATCTAATAAACTATTCTCGAAAATGATGCGCAATGGTGTCGAAACGTCGAAATTAACTCTTGTTGTCCTAACTTATTTAACCAAACTTATTAAGCACAAACAACTAATTCGAATCAATTTAACATATGATGTATTTTTGTATTTATAATGCTTTATTCTATTGACCTGTAAATGGAAAATACAAATAATCGAAACAGATCAATTCATTATTATAATATATGCATTTTAAAGCTTGCGTGTATAAAGTGATAAATTGTGTTGAAATCTTTTAACTTTGGATGACCTTCAGGAAATCTGTATATATACATAACTCTTTCAATTTCAAAGTCAAGAAATTTCAGAGTCAAGTACCAACTCATGAGAAAGAATACAATATTAATAGTCTCCTTCATGGTTCCCTATGGCATTTTGAAAGGCTGCCATGCCTTTACATCAAAGYGAGACAACTGATTGTGCAATAGTAGATAGTCCTTATAATAGGTGTGAAACAGAGTTTCTATCATTGCACGCTCAACGGTAAATCTAGCTTCAATGCAAAGGCACAACTACCTTTCAAGATGGCATMGAGAACTGTGAAGAAGACTATAAAAATTAATTAATTCATGACGACTTCACACCGATCTAAATGTGTCTCCATAAATTAACGATTTACCCCCCGCGAACCGCACGAAGAAGCGGTCTGCGGGGGGTGTTTATGTAAATCACTATCACGTTGCCATGGAACTAACAAATAAAACCTTGCAGAAAGAGTCTCTTCTCAAACCAGTTTTATTAAGTTTATCAATCAATCGTTCTGCAAATTACCGCTTTACAAAATAATTTACGAAGGAGAAGCACTCCGAATTAGAATTCAGAGTCTAATAAGCCATTACACTAAGTACAATTGAAAAAAAAAACAAACAAACATATTCGCATCGTTTGCCATCGGAAAGTTGAGTTTCGACATCGCATTAAACTAGTGTTTTGATGGGAAGCAAAACTAGCGAGTAATCTGATTGTTTCGCTTCCCTTCTATAATCGAAACAAACTAAAATATTCGCGACGAATTGACATCGAAAGTTTGTAAACTTAAAATTTTCGACCGACATCATTGTTGACAATCTAGAAGGAGAAAAGTAGCGTTTGATGGGAAGCAAACTAGCGAGTTATCTGAGTGTTTTGTTTCTCTTCTTCGTATTGCTTTCCAAAGTCTTTACCTCTATACTCGAGATATATAAACTTACGAAAGAATCAAAACTTTAACAATTCAAATAAAAAATACACCACTCAAGCGATCAATGAGTCGGTATTAAACGTTTTTCATAGTTTGTGTTCTCAATTTGGCAAACTTTCCACACGCCGTCTTCATCAAGCGTTTCAGCTCGATAACTCTGTTTTGATGTAATGAAACATATTTGTCGTGAAATTTAATACTTCGATGAAGTCATGTATAAAGTGTCTTGATTTGAATTACGCGCTCGAATTTGACAGCTGTGTTTACACTGTTGACTTGACAACCGTTAGACGATAAAACCGGTTTTATCTCGTTTCTTCTCATTGTGCATGCGCTGAATTTATAATTAGAACTGTTCACAATGASACACTTAGATCGGCATGAAGTCGTAATGAATGTTGAATATTGAGTCCTGCTGGCTGGGATAATAATTTGGTAGTGGCTGAAGAATGGGTATTGTACRAGTGAGTATCTTTTATTGATGTATAAAAACATACTGATGTAAAACCCTGAGTACAGCACTATCTAAACACAATCTACTTGATAAGTGAAACTAAATATCAAACTTACCTCTGAGGGTCCATGTCTTACTTCCTCAGTATTAATGTCTGGATTAAACCTCAAATCAAATTCTAAAAAAAAGTGGCATTTCTCATTGCATACATGCTTGGCATTTCACTGCATACATGCTTATTTATTATATATCAAGTGTCAAAGTTCACTTTTCCTAGTATCTTATTGGTCGAGATGTACCATGTGAAAGTCACAAAATTTTACTGTTTCCCGGCAACTGTCCACCAGCGGTCAATAATATGTTGTGGACCGTCAATAAGTGCAAAATAACAGAAAAACACTATTCAGTGTCGTGAAAATGTCACATTTACGGATGTTGGATTCCAAAATGTTATGAAACATTTAATTTAGACTACAAATAGCTAAGTTACAGTTATAGTATTCATTTTGTTATTACATATGCTTGATTTTAGTGACATTTGACTATTTGTATTGCCATTTTTCAGTCATTTTATCAAAATTTTTAATAAAAACACTTCATTTAATATTTACTTATGATAATAAAGCACTTATTTACTGGAAACCTTGGGAAACAGTATGTTTTGTGGTCCCTTCGCTTCGGGAAACATCAGCGTTCTYGGGACCACAAAACATACTGTTTCCCTTAGTTCCAGTAAATAAGTGTTAAATGTAATCCAGAAGTGATTAAAAACAATAGACAACAAAAAATTGCAACTACATGTAGGCCTAAGCACCCTGMAGGAGTTACGATCATGGYAGATATCTAGGAATTCCATTCAGTCACAAGTGAACTGGGTAATTACTCAGGGTTCCAAAGGAATCTGCGAGTTTAAATTTCGGGTGTCTTTTTTGTTCATTGTCGCTTATCAGTCACAAATTGTCCAAGATCACGTGACATTCACATCTTCCATGTGATCTTGGATTTCTTATATGGTGGTGAGCGTTACACCAAACAAGCTACCTATCGTATCAAAAGCGAACTCAATACTAACTTATACCAGGCTCAGAAACTACAAAGGACTTATCTAAGGAATGCCATCAGAGTTCTTTTGAGGAAAAACTGACGATTGGAAGTATTTTACCACACAGAAAAGATAAAGGACTCTGTGTTTATAGCTCAATGTGACTATCAAAGTGAGACGTTGACCAGCTTGCCGCCGAAGATCAATTCTATCATAATATTGATGCTAAGCACATTGCTTCTGTTATTATTTTTCATTCCAGGAATATTTTTGCCTTTTCCCTTTTGATAGCATTAATATTAACTTTATTAGGGTTCAATACAGTCTAATTCTTTCACCACTACACTCAAACTATTGTTACTTCATTGTTTAGTTATTGCGATGAGACCGATGATATCTTAGATAAAACTATTTGTTTGACTACTTATGCAGAACTCACAATAAAGATTACATGAGAGTACACAAGATCTCGCTATTCAACGTTTGTTTTTTTATAGTTATCGACATGTTTTATCTGCTGGTTATAAAAATCGAAATCACAAAAAGATTTTATTTATAAATAATGGTAATTGAACTGAGTGGAGTACAATTTGGTCTGAAATCAAACTCACGATTAGAAACATTACAAAATCGCACGACCGTGAAGCAAATTTCCTTGCCTTCACAATCCTCACGTTGTTGCCTTTCTCCTTAAGAGAGTGGTCGTAGTTGGTAGTTGTCAACTTCTTGAATTCTTACTCTAGCATAGAACTGGCATAAAATGTTGTCAAAGTTTTACGTGCTTGACAATATCAAGATGACAGCTCATGAACGAGAATATTCATCAACATTTTCCAAAGTTTTGTCGCTGTATTTGTTCTTATTAGTGACCTGAAGCCTAATGATGCCTGCATAATTTATAAGCACTGGAAATCTTTATTCACAGTTGGGCATGAATTGTTTGTGTTGCAGTTGCAAACTGAGCTACATGAACTTCAGGAACTTACATCCCTTGGTAAACATTTCTGACATTTTTTGGACTGTAAATTACACTTTAGTCAGGATTTAGAAGTATCAAATGATGAAAAATTGCATTCACAATTTGTCATCTAAATCTGTAAGTAAGATTTGCACATAATTATATTTTCATTCAAAATTTGCTGTAAACCATAAAAAATACACATTTTGTGTCCTTTTTGCTATAGCTTGATTGGTTAACACAATCCTGTAATGTGATTGGTTTCCTTTTACTTGTTTTGCATTGTGATTGGCTCTTCAAAGGAGTGYGATTAAGAAGTAAAAATGGTACGATTTAGGCTGAAATCAACCTGCTAAGAACCAATCAGATTGCACGATTCACTTGTGATTTCAAAATGGTTATAATTAAAGTATAAATTAATCGTATGAGGAAGTGGCTGATCCCATTAAAGAGTGCTCAATACACATAAAGTGTAGAGCTAGTTATATATATGATATCAAAGAGGCAAGATTTTGTTGTAAGTTTCGTGCTACTGTCTGATGAGTGCGTAGCACGAAACTTGGAGGAGTTACAGCAAAATCTTGCCTCTTTGATATCATATAATTTTATATAAAGTATAAATTATAGGTAATCATTTTAGATTTCCTTGGTGAACATCAAATGAAGCAAAAGCTAGTAATTATTGTATCCTTGAAATAAAAAGGATTTGAATGCTGTTGACTGGGTTGAATAAGGCAAAACAGTCAAACCAAGTGTTTGATATATAACGAGTAATCCCAGACAAGACAAATATTTTACTTTTATTTACAGGTGCTATAGTTATGTAATCCCACGAGACATTTAGTCAAAGTTTCGGAAAAAACATTTCTTAGTCAATGTGGTCAAGACATATACAATTGAAGGGCCGCCTGTGAAAACTGCCAAAGTGACTTTTTAGGTAATTTTTGAAATTTTCGATAAATTGAAAGAAAATCACTTCAAGCACGTATTTTCAGTCTAAATAATCTTATTACTTATTTATCTTGATTTCTTTCTAAAAASAGCAAAAAAAAGACCCATAGTTTGGACGAAATCATTGCTCATGCCGCGTGTACTATTTACCCAGAACATGTGTTCTGAATCAGTGTCCAAAGAGAAAGCCGTAGCATGAGATGTTTATGAAAAATTGAAAAATAAAATGCTGAAATTACAGAAGTAGGACTAAATTTTGGTACAAACAGTAATTTGCTTGTTCAAATCTAGAATATGTATTGAAAATCACAACAACAAAAGTGTTATTCAAAACCCTAATCATTGCCCTAGGTTACAGAAACCCTAAGCATTGCCAAAGACTAGCCCTAAGCCTAACCTCAGGTACGGGGAGGGGAGGGTGCAGTCCGTAACTTTAATCTGTTTTTTTTTCCTTTTTCGAAGAAAATAACGATAAAGAAGTAGCAAACATGACAATTTAAACTAAAAATACTCGATTGAAGTGATTTTTTTTTCAATTTATTGCAAATTTCAAAAATATACTAAAAAGTCACTTTATTATCCGTTTTCGCAGCCAGACCTTCAATTTATGAATGGCAACCTAAAATTTAATGTTACATGACCTGTACCTGTTTCTGATAAAGATCCTACAGCAGTAGCAGCTGCCTTGAAAGCTTCTAAATGAGTATCTTGAGCTGAAGATGTTAATGGAAAGCCATACAAAATAAATAATTAAACAATACAGCTAGCATGGAGTTAAGAAAAGACATAAAAAGAATAATAATGATATTGGCAAAAGTTTACAATCAAAATGTGAAACTACTGTTTGGAATCTTCCCACAACATAAATATTTTGGATGAATGAAATTGGAAGACGTTTTGCCTCTATTGTGCCATAGCGTGCATTATATTAGAATGTTATTCTGCAGATTTTCAATGAGTCAAATATATCACAAAACAAAACGGAATAAAAAATCTGGAAGAACTAGGCAAGCATGAAGTTGAGTATGAGAACAAGCTTTAAAATTGGCTTTATGTTTGTCATTGATTATGAAGTGCTTTCCTGTATAAATAGGTCAAAAGGGRAAAAAAAACAAGGACTGAAATTCAGTATCAACAACACAATTAACGCAAAATTAACGCACCATTATAATGGCAATTACTCAAAATTGACCAATCCAAATTAACTTAGCTTAGTACGATGTTCAGAGAATGTGAATTAACAATTTAATTTAATTTAAATTTTTTTTTGACGTCATTGTCACTATGAAATTTGTATTTCCTGCTCAATCGAATACTCAAACCTAAAGTTCCTTGTTGCTAAAACTAAAATTACAGTATTCTTTTAATATCCTGAAATGTGTTTGGATCACATTATTTTTATACAATCATGTGAAGGAATCACAAAAGTTTGGACTTAATAAAACATGACAAAAACCGATAATGACCGTTATAATCATGGCAGTTTAATGCTTGATTTATTATGAGAGGTTACATATTATGTTTATATTTTCAATTCAGTAACGTACTACACAATGCCATTGTATGACATGGTAAGATGATTTTATTAGTCACCAAATTCAACTGAAAGGATTTGTCAATATCAATGTGAAATTGAAATATAAGTATCAATATTAACATACTTATTATTTTTGGTGCATTAGTTTTTGGTGCTGTTTCATGAGGCTGTTCACTTTTATCYGCCTGTGCATTGCCACATTCTTTCACTTTATCCTTTGAGTTAACTGTATCAGCTGTCTTGTTTTTCTTTTTCAATTCTGCTTGATTATTCTCCCTTCCTTCAGTCTAGGTTAGAGGAACACAATATTCAAATCAAAATTGAAGCAATAATTCACTGTCTTTATTGTTTGCTCATAAGGTTTAATACCTAACGCTTACTGTAAACCTTTGCAAGAGCTAGCAAATTACCAAAAATAAAGGTCTCAGATTTTTTTTYAGATTTTTTTAGATTTTACATATAATATAAATTTAGAGAAAAAGGAAGTACACCTGACCTTAACATTGTTTAAAAACTTAACAATATACTATAAAAATATTGAAAGGTGGATAACAAAATCTAATAAGTTGAGGAAATTCAGAGAAAATGAATGATTTGTCTCCATAGAAACAATCTTAGTAAGCTGTAGATATTGTGTTTTATATTATTGTCCACTTATACACACAAAAATCATTATTTTGCACAATGACATCACTTAAAAAATCACTTTTTGGTCTTCATTAATCTTTGATGGCTTACCTTAGCTTTTGTAGATATATGTGATGCCACAAGCTTTAAAAACACAACATAAGAATACCTAGGCATATAATTTATTAGCATAAATTATTAAACACCAAAATCATTCTCTTAAGCTGACTATAAAAGGATCTGGCCAGCATGCCTTGAATACAGTAAATTCCACAAACCATAAGAACCTAGAACCTTCCAAGTCAGCCTGAACAGGTATTATAATAATTATGAAATGGTGTTAAACTTAAGCAGGCTTCAGGCTTTTGAGGAAGTTCTTAGTAAGTTTAAGTCTTTGTGGCTTCTTACSTTGTTAGTCTCATATGAGGTCCTATTAAATAATACTTACGCTATAAAAGATTCAATCAGCTCAGGCCGTAGACAACACAGTTTGTGTTTGTAAGAACGAGGATAAACAGCAGTTGAATTTTCATTTCCTAAAGAAATTAAGATACACCTAAATTAAAAAAATGTAGTTGGGTTCCAAGAGCCTACATCAGAAAAGCTAACACCGAAATGAAGCATGGAAAAACAAATATCATTATAATAAATATATCCTTGTTTCAGTGCCAAAAGATTATACATTAATAATTCATTAATAATTCATAAGGTAAACACAAATAGAAAATCAATGCTGTAACTGTATCTATATATGAGCAAGAGATCTGTCCTGACTTGCTAAAAGACTTCAACTTTCTCTTAAAAATATATCGTTCTTTTTTGCAAAATATGTTTAATCTTATGTTGGAATTTGATACTCAATATTAATAATATGTTCGCGTCCAGCCTTAATGGGCTTTAAAACTGCTGGCTTGCAACTTGCAGTTTTCTCCTGCTTATAAATTACATTATCATATAACCCGCATTTCGGTCCTACACGYGCTCGTAAAAAACCTTCGSGAAATGGTCACGTGATGGGGCCGTACACGTTTTCGCGACAGGGCTGTACAAATCTTCCTGGCTTGAAGTTCCGCACACTTTTATTTCTTATGTGATATTTAAAAAACGAGTAGTGTTTTCTCGTGAGATATAAACACAAGACCGAAGGACGAGTGTTTATATCATTCCATGATAAAACACGAACTACGAGTTTTTTTAAATGACTTCTAAAACCCAAACCTAAGAAACTACAATATTTTAGTTTAACATAAAATAAATAAAAAAAATATCAAAAATGAATAATTGATAAAGATAGCTCCATCTGAGCATGACCAGTAATCAACTTGATTTCCCACATCCAAGCGCCATGTTTTAGTCTACTATGAATCTGCAATAACTGCATTTAAACTCGAAACCTAGTGAAGTTCTATGATGAGAGTCTGAGAACTTTTCTAGTGTTGGGCACACACCGAGTGTCTGTAAATCAGTTACAACACTGATGTTTTAATTAATCAGTGTTTGTAACTTGAGTTATAGGTACTGTTATGTGACCCATAGTTGAATGCTCATTGGAGGAATGTCTATTGAATAATTCATGAGTTTTAGAATTTTACATTAAAAATCGCTATCATATGATATAATGCTTATTGACTGAGTTAGGTCGGGCTGTACGGGTAAATATTTCGCTCTAGCTCATTTGTAAGGACCTAGCTGCACTCGGTCCGTACGGCATAACCTCGAGCCAAATATTTTCCCATACGGCCCTCCCACTCAGTCAATTAAATACATATTATTACATAAAATGGCCCCTTCTACCAGTAAAGCAATGTTACATGTAAAGGAAATATGATTTGAATTTCTGAGTACTTCTAACTCCCTTTATTGTGTGTATGAACCWAACCTGGGCTAGAGCCCAGTACCAATGTATGGGACTTTTGGTTCTAGTACCAAAAAAACAAGTTGAAAACTATCAGATAGTTTGTTTAGTTCTGGTGTCCGATCAGCTTTGAATATTTTGTTGCGCACTAACTAATGGGCTTTCAACTTCTCAGGACATTTACATTCTCAGTTAACCAACAACTAATTCCAATTACTATGGACACCTGTACGGAACTTTAAGGCTGAACGCAGCGAGAATCGAGCGTGATTCTAGCCATACAGTGCTTTGAAAGCCATAAGAAGAGCGAGACAGAACCAAACAAGGATTTTGCCTGGCTCGTAGTGCTGAGCCAAACATTTGTCTGGCTTGTTTATGGGTCTGAATCAGTCTATAATTTTGTGTGAACTGTCAAGTGTCGCAACATGGACAGTGTTAAATTTTAAGGCCAGATTAATGCCCATAATCAGGCCTCAAATTCATGTCGATCTAATCTGCGAACAGAAGATCAGTGCTGCTCGCAGGATAATTTTAAAGTTGATGTCTTGTTTGTCTTTTCGGTGCCCAAGGTGCTGCAAATTCAATTGATAACGTAGCAGTACGTCAATCGTTCTGGCCTCTTTGTTTTTCTCAGTTATATGTCACGATTTCCGAGATTCAGTAAAGGAACTGTTACCTCGACTATTCAGAATAACTAGGGAGCCCACCTTTCTCTAATGTCGGCAATTGTCTTCGAAAAATAGCTTCCCTACCATGATTTCTTCCAGAAGAGTGTCTCTGCCGTCTAGTCGAGCTTTATAATGCAATCCCAGGGGCTTCTGTGGCAGCAAATGACTAAAAAAATCACTTCAAAACGGTTTTTGGGCGAATTTGAGAGCGAGTGCTGGCTAATTTAGCGACCCTAAGGGTTTGGCACAATATTCGAATGTTAAATGAAAAAACTGAGTGATGGGAAAGTTGTACGGAAGATCAAGCTTTCACGCTATAGTAGTTTTTAATATCTATTATACAAATATTGTGACAAACGAGGACTTTAAACATGGCCTCATCGTTTTAAGCAACATTTTGAAATGCTCAAATATCTCGAAAATTTAGGTTAAGATTTTATTCAAACTTCATCAGTATGTCAATTATGTTATTAAGAAATGATTCTTAAAAAATTATTACAATCTCTGCGATGAGTTTCGAGAAGATTAACTTTGAAGAAAAATGAAGGTGTTTTTATTTTGCATTGTTTATCCATATGAAATGGTTTTTTTTGGCAAATTAACTTATCAACAAGAATTAATTGATAATCACTTTTAATTCTGTGAAAATTTGAGTGCAATCGAATCGAAATTTGCGACATAGTTGGAGTTGAAAAATACGCAYGAAGCGCTATTTATTACGATCGAAACACCTTAATGCACGCCAGAATACTAGTATCTATTTTGGCGCGCAGTCACCAACCACTCAAATCGGTGATTTTTCTTTTTTGTCGAGAATTTCACTTTTTGAACATTGATAATACTGGTAAACATTTATAAATTTTCACATACTATACATTTTCTGATTAACAAATAGATCTCATTTTTCAGTGGGYGTGTACTCTAATAGATACACAGATGACGTCAAAATGTAGTGAGAACAAAAAAGTACGCACAAGACGCAGTCGAGTGCGTGACTGTTGTTCTCACTACATTTTGACATCATCTGTGTATCTATTAGAGTACACACGCACGGAAAAATGAGATCTATCTGTTTTATACAACAAACAATTAGTTTTGACGTAATCCGTGTATCTATACTTTGATAACACACGAAAGCCAACCAATCAAAACGTCTGATTTTACTGAAAAGTTGTATAATATTTCATATCAATACATCGATATACAATCGACATGTTTTTCTTGTTCTCAGTAGCTAAGTACATACTATTCTTTCTGAGATCAGATTACTGTAATGCTAAAAAAATATTCATGAATATTTATCACCACAACCTTGAAAACAAATTATAATAAAATTATAATTATAATTAATCAAAAGTTTTGATTTATGTTTTTTTTATTTTGTTGCGGCATTTGCCATTACAACAAATATACTGTCAGGAGTTGACCGTCACCGTGAATGGAGAATTCATTAGTATATTCACGAGTAACACAAGCTAARTGAATCTTTTTCTTTGYCAATATGAAYCRCTAATATCTACTATTTAAAGCTAATATCRATATATATTTCACTAATTAATTTACRTGAGGACGATTGTATTAAAACTTTTATTGCATTACATGCCGAGTTGTGCATTTTATATTAGCTTTTAGTCTGTGCGGGCTCAAATTACAAAACATGCAAGCAAACCATAATCAAGCCATAAAAACAACCAGAATAGAGCCATACATCCAAGCCTGAAAAATGTCATGCTAATAGCCTGAAAAATTCCACACTCGTTTTTCACGCTACTGTCAGCCTTAAAATCGCTCTGTTTGGTTCATTGTTTTCACGCTCAATTTTCGCTACTATTTGGCCGAAATTTAAGGCTACATTTTGGTCCTTTTCTGCTGATAATTTTCGTACGGGCAGGAACATGCAATAGAAGCCAATCAGGATAATGCAATTTAGAGATAGTTGTTAATGAGACACAGTTAGGACTCCAGCAAGACTATGATGAACAAAGTGCACAGATTATGAGAAATAATTGAATATTTTCTCTTGGAATGAACAACGAGTTCCGAGTTGGAATGGAGAGAGAAATGTGTTCCTATGTGAGAGAGTGGCCTGGAGCTAGTATGATAATGTGTTATAATGCTATACAAGGAGGTACTATACAAGGAGGTGGAATTGTGAAATCAGTGTGGTCCAAGCTCTGTAGAAGTTGGCTATTTAAAGTTGTACAACTTGTTCTACATGCATATTTCTATTWAAGTGTGGCCTTTGAGCCTGGACCAGTCTAGGCAACAATGTTTGTTGTTTGTCATGACTTAATTATGAATGAACAATAGGAAATTCTGACATGGTGGTATGATATTCATGCAAATATGAACATCCATCAAACCAATTTGTTATTCACATTCACTTGACTTGCAGCCTATCGATTTGATTAGTATTGC